TACTTTAAACCTTTGTTTAATAAACTGAGCTCTTGTTTATCAAAAGTCTGCGAAGAAAGAATTTCCACTATGTTTATGTCTCTTTAGAAAACATGTTTGTTTTAGAGCTTTTTAATTTTTTAAACTTATTATTCAAAATGGACATTTTCTTTTGACAACAAATTTTGAATTGATAACCACAAACATATTTCTCTGAAACACCAACATTCATACTCTACATTAGTTAGCTTATAAGTAAGTTTTTTAAAGTCCATAGGGCTTCACTCAAGCATACTTCGTTTACTATACAGAAAATTTGATTTCTAAATCAAGCCATTTTTGTTTTGCAATTTTCTCTACCTTATCACTAACGTTACTTTTCGAAATATCAACTTTAATAAAATCAGGATAAACTGATTTGGCTTTGCATGATTTAAGAAACCAAATATCTGCTCCTAATAACCTAATCTTAGTACTAAACTTACGATAAAGATTCAGTTCCGTTGACCGTGAAGCCATCGAAGATTAGAGTTACCTTTGGTAGTTGCCACAGCAAAATATTTAATCACACAGAATTAAACATTTTTACATTGACATGTTATTTGCTATTCATAAAGAGCAGATGATTATAAACTAAGGTTAAGGTAAGGTAAGTTTATAATCATCTGCTGATGATGCTAACATGGTTAGCGAAACGCGCGTCCAGTGTAAAAGTAAAAGTGTTTTGGTGTATTGTGGTGATTTAGTGTTTTTATTTTGCTGTGTAACACCAAAGGTTCCAACCCTCAACAGGAATAAAAAGCCAAACATTTCAAAAATGACACCAACTAAAGCACTTGCCATGTTAGTGGAAGCTGTGTTGACTAAAAACCAATACGAAATTACTCGAAAAAATTTCAAGGACTTATATCCATGTTATTCAGTTCTTCAAAAAGAAAAAATTACCTGTTACCCGGATAAGACAAAATATTCTATTACGGAAGTAAACGTTGAAGTGCTCCTTAAAGATTTGTTAGATTTGACAACTGATCGCCTATGCATCTCAATTCAGGACGCTTTTGAAAATTTACCACCTGATGAATATAGCAATATTTATTTAGTTTCTAAATGGGGCTGTGATGGTTCGGCACAAAAACAATATAATCAGAAATTTGAATTTGACTCCAGCAATGATGGACAGCTGTAACGTTTTTAGTTCGTTACATGTCTTTGTATATGATATATGATGTCTGGCGTATCATCACCGGGGAGTGATAACGTCCTTCCCTCTCGTTCAGGCCGGATAAGTTATTTGACGCGCTTGGCGTAGTTCTAACGTCCTCAAGTCGACAATCCTGTGCTGCTCTGTGGGCATTCATTTTCAAGGTTTCGCGCCTCTGCGCTTAATTTCACTTTGTCTTTGACCGTTCTACTGTCACCATCAAAAAATCCCAGCTTAGAGAAACTGCAATTATAAAAATCTTGCTATATAATTTGAATCAGCTGCTATTTCGAAGCTACAGGGTAGAGTTACGGATGTCCCAACCTAACTTGTATTTGTATTTTGCTGGCACGTTGGCGTTCCTTCTCTTTTGTCCTCCAGAATATCACATGGAAGAAAGGACAGGTTCTTTATTATTTATTGAGCCCTCGGAAGTAATTCGGTGGTCCAAGGTACGAAGTATTTCCAAGGTACGGACTATTTCTAAGGTACGGGTAGTATTGCCTTGTACCATTATCTTATGGACGGATGTCCCGTGGACGAGTGTCCTCAGTAGGAATGATTTATCTTACATATAAAGTGCCCCAGCGTGGATATAGCTTTGAGCCCCATGCTGCTTCGTTCCCATCTATAGGCTAGTCAGTAGTTACGGCTGTATTAATTCATGGTATCCTCATTCTGGCCCCTTTTGTTCTATTGGATAGCCGAGTACAGAGATATGAGCCCACCTCATGCTGCTACTCTCTGAAACAGGATAGCCTCAAGAACAGCTAAGTTTAGATTTAAGTTTTAGTTTACGTTCAACATTTAACACATTTTCAGTCTTAAACAATAACCTACATCTTGAATAATATCGTACAGACTATGTTTAGTGGTTAGTTCGCCAAGAACCTTCATGTTAATTTAGTATTGAGAATATGATTTAGGTCTTAGGTTCCATTACATTACTTCTTGTAATAGTATTACTTTCATAGATGTTATTATTGCACTATTTAACAGATGAATAACCAAACATAGATTCTAGAATCTACGGGTTGCAACATCTTCGATTTAACATCATATAAAATATATCAAATTAATTAAAGTAATGCTACATTTCATATATTTTCTTTAACTTTACATGTCTTGTATTTTATCATAGTTGTTTTCATAGATATTTAGCACAATTCTTAACACCACTTTCTTTGACATACAACCACTATATTTACTAGAACTCTACAATGTCATGTACCAGCAAGGAACATCATGAATAAATATAGTCATTAGTTTTAAGTAATATACAACTGTGTTTTCTTTCTCTGTACATGCCTGGCGCCCAATATCTATATTTTTTTGTTTATTGTTATTGATTAGTTTTCTCTAGTAAAATACCTTATCCACGACTGCTCTCCGATGAAAAGCTGCCGTTCGTAGTGGTATTGTTTTATAAAAAAAACGCTACACAGCTGTTCTTAAGTTCATTCGTACCAATTCAACTTTTCGCAAAAACACAAAATAAAAAAATTATTTTGCAGAATCCAAGACCTGCTTCTTCAAGATTTTGCAGGCCCATCAGGTTCAGGTTGATCAAAGAAACTGTTAAAGAGACCAAAGCAGAATTTAACATATATAAACGCACAAATTGAATCGCTTTCTCTATCAAAAATTCATATAAAAGACAAAGAAATTTTGGTTAGACATATTTTAGCATTTACAATAGTAGACGGGAAAGTGTGTAACTCCCTTAGCGATACAACTTCAACCCAAAGATGTTACTTGTGTGGTGCTACAAGCAAAGATTTCAATAATTTAGACCGATTGACAAAATTTACTGTAAAAGAAGAAAATTATAAATTTGGTATCTCAATATTGCATGCAAGAATAAGGTTTTTTGAAAGTATCTTACACCTGGCCTATAAAATACCAGTGGAAAAACGGCAAACCAGAGATAAAACTGAAAAGGATTTAGTATAGGAAAAAAAGAAAAAAATACAAAATCAATTTAGAACAGAGTGTGGAATGATAGTTGACGTCCCCAAACAAGGATTTGGTAATACCAATAATGGTAATTTAACAAGAAGATTTTTTAAAGATCCTGAATGTTCCAGCAAAATTACAGGTGTTAATAAAGAACTTATAAGGAGATATAAGGTTATTTTGAAAACCATAAGCAGTGGCCACAGTTATTATTATAATTATTATATGATTAATATATATGATTGAAATGAATATGATTAATATAACATTATTTAAAGAGTATTCATTAGAAACAGCTAAACTTTATACTAAATTATATGGATGGTATCCTATGCCACCAACAATACACAAAGTGCTTATTCATGGATCTGAAATAATTGCTAACGCATTATTGCCGATAGGACAACTCTCCGAAGAGGCTGCTGAAAGCCGCAATAAACATTTTAAGAAATTTCGGGAAGGTTTTTCCCGAAAAGCAACCAACTTAGATGTATTTAACAGACTAATTTTGTCATCCGATCCTGTGTTAACTGCTCTGTCTGCTCTTCCGGCAATAAATAGAAAAAAACTTTTCGAATGATACAATTAAACTGCTACTTCCTGGAGACGATTATTATGTGTAAGAATATGTAGAAATTGTAGATGAAAATGATCCTTATTTTACATTTGATGATTAGTTTCAGTTTTTTTGGTTATTTAGTGTTTTTCTAGTTTTCTGTTTGTATCTCTCATAAACAGAAATTACATAATATATTATAGTTAATGGATATATTTTTCGATATTTTTGTATAGTTATATGTTAAAAATAAAATAAAATAATATAGATATACCATACCTATATTGTTAAATTAGTTAAAAAATTCACAGTCCTTTATAAAGATGCAACCGGGGGGGGGGGGCATTGAAAATGATGAATAAAAACGTAAAAATATAATTAGTGTTAATATGAGTGTATTACATACATATGTTTAAATAACGAAAACAAACAAGCAAAAAAACAAATTAACATACAAAACATCAGGTTAACATGATGACAGATCATGATCGATGATAGATAAAGAATTCTTACGGAAAGTTACACTTTACGATATAATTTTTTAACTGTTAAAGGCAAACCCCATTTAAACACAAAACTTTTTAATATCTACTACTGTATCTAAAAGACTTTTTTTGTTAAATTACTAAATTATTAGCCACGTTTCTGTTTTTCTTGGCTGTTGTGCGTCACGTCACAGATTAACAGGCCCACGTTTGCACCACAAGGCAATGCTGCAGACCACTAGGTAGACCGGTCGTAGAAATTTATGTTATACAACTTGTAATCAATCTATTGTTCGATTCGCGAGGTTTGGAACTTTCGTCACAGATTGTCATTCTCTCTCTTATCCATGTTTATCACATGAAATGGAAATTTTGTGTCAAAAACGTAAGTCCATTATATTGATTACATCGTACGATTATTTTATTCTTTTTATATACTGATCACATGCTGATCACTATTATTACGGATAAAATATTTACGTCCTTGTCCGATAAGCACGAATAGAAAAGGACAAACATCGTGTTTGTATTACCCGCCGAAATTGAACAATACGGAACGCCGACTGTCAAAGTTGTCGTTAAATTTTAACGGCTCCGATAGTTTCCCGTAAATTTTTCCAAGAGGATTTTTATCACTTTTTGATATTTTTATGGGAGATTTTCTGTGTTTACTGAGTTATTTGTGATTTAATTTGTGTTTAAAATGTCGTCCCGTTTTAGTGAAAACGAACAACGGCTCATATTAAAAGTTATCGAGTATTTCAAACTCGAAAAAGATGCTGGAAACCCCCTTTTGTCTGTGTCGGCTGTTTACGATGTAATTGGACAACTATCAAGTTAATATTTTTTAACTAAATCGAAAATATTCACGTGTTTTATAGAGAGCATCGGAGGCTTTAGGAATTTCACGCACGACTGTGCAAAGAATCAGTTCTAGAGGAATCGTGAAAGATGAAGAACAAAAAGCAGCAACAAGTCACAGAATTGCTTTGTCCCGTGGAATTCCTGCTTATAAGATACATGAACATACAATTAGAACACGTATTTATTCAATGTATGCTGCAGGTAGGCTACAATAAATTTATTATTGTTTAATATTATATGTATCTAATTTTTCACTGTATGGGATTATATAGGGGAACATATTACATTACAAACTTTGCAAGCAAACCTTCAAAACATTGATGATGTTCAGTTGTCTCTGACTATGTTGGGGAAAGGACTTAAATATTTGCAGTTTAGATGGCAAAGTTGCAAGCATTCTAACAGGAAGTATTTAATGGAGCAGCCATATATTGCACAGAAGAGACTGCAATTTTTACGACAATATAAAGAAAATCAAATCTCTGATTGTTCTTTCAGACCAGTATTTCTTGATGAAACCTGGATTTACAGTAAGGGTGGATTTAGAAAGAGCTGGCAAGATGGCAGTCTACAAACAGTTCGTAAAACATCTGGAGAAGGAGTAAGGTACATGTTTTTTACATATTCATTGGTTCACTTATAGGTCAGTTAGAAGGGAACAAATAGAGATACAAACAATAATATATGATAACTGTTAAGTTGTTTCTAGTAAGTAACATATGAGCCATGCACTGCACAACTCAGTTAACTCCACTTTTAAAAATTTTTAAATTTAAGTGTAAAACCAATTGTAATATTCAAACAGTTTTCCAAAAAATAGACAAATAGACAAATAATAACCTCTGATGTTTGGAAAATGTTAAGTTATTAATATACCAACTGGATTTACACTTAAATTTAAAAATTTTCAAAATGTATTGTTCATCACTTAGACAAGGAAAGGGGGGGACGGGCATTACCAGTAGAAATTTTGTGATGGAAAATCGCTAGGCTCCATGCCAAGGCCGTTTGTGAAAAGTGATTCCTAGTTCTTTCTCTCATTACAGATCTTAGAATTGTAAGCACAACAAAACACCATACTTAAATAATAATTATTTCAAGTCTTTAAAAAGCTTTTTACAGCACAAAATACAAAAAAACACACAATTTTTAGGAGCCAATCACAAAATTTGATATTGGCCGTAGATGTCGATTACGCGTCCCCTCTCTTTGCTTGTCTAAGGTGCATGAGCAGTAAACAGCTGATATAACGATAATGTTTCTAACCTAAAGAGTGAATGCAAAGAAAAACATAAAACGTTACATCTGCATAGCAACAAGTGTGCACCAATAAATGCATGGGATTATATCGATTACATTGTAGTTTAACTGTAAAGAAATGTACCTTGTACTTCATTTTTGGGTATGTATGATAGTGATTTTTTAAGGTATATTGTATTGCATGCTGGGTCAGAAGATGGATTTGTGGAGAATGCTAGCTTAGTTTTCAAATCAGGCACTAAATCGGGTGACTACCATGATTCAATGAAGTCGGCAAATTTTGAAAAGTGGTTTAAAGAACAATTAATTCCAAATTTATGTGATAATTCACAATAAGCTCTTAGGAATTATATTATGATTTTTTTTTAAATTATATTATGTTTAATGGGAAAATCTAATCTTGTCTAATCTAAAATTTAGATGAACCATCTCTGATTATAATGGATAATGCTCCATAACACAGTACCCTTTTCGAGAGAACTCCAAATCAGAGTTGGAGTAAGGAATCCCTGATTAATTTCTTGCAAGAAAAGGGAATCCAATCACCACCTCTGGCAATGAAAGATCAGGTTTGGAATATTGTCAAGCAGAATGTTGCACCTAAGAAATACAAGTAAGTCAACAAACAGTCTTATTACTTTGACATGAATGCAATTGTATATGCGATATGTTGATTTAACATTATAACTTTATTCCATTGCATTTATTTGGCAGACTGGACGAATTAGCCAATGAGAAAGGACATCGTGTGTTGAGACTTCCTCCATATCATTGTCAGTACAATCCCATCGAAATGGTATGGTCAGAATGCAAGCGCTACTATGATGCCAAGATTAGTGCCATTCATCCTGTTACAAGTGATGCAGTATTAGGTCTTTGGAAAGAAGCACTTGAGAAGGTAGATTACATGTGGTTTAGATTATTTTATATTAAAAGTTTTATTTTAGGTTACACCAGAGAAATGGAAGAATTATATCAGACATACCAATAGCATAATCGATAAAGCCTGGGCCCAAGAACAACTGATTGATGCCTCCGATATTCTACCTGTAATTATCGACACGAATGATTCCGATTCAGATGAGGACAATTATTTAACTGAGGGAGAAGAAAGTGTGTAGTGTTTAGTGTCTAGTATTATTTTTCATACATATTGTTTTATGTTGTACAGTGTGAGTCAGTGACAGAGTAAAGAGTAAATTTAATTAGTAAATTAATTTTAAATATAGAGGGGACTCCAAAAAGTGAGGCAGATATATATTATAAATAATGTTATATACCTAGAACTAATAGTTTTCTTAATATTTATTTAAAAAAATGTGTTATGCCAGCACCGACATGGTAGTGGCATTGTGTAAAAACTTTTCTATGCTAATCACTGGTATGAAAGTATTTACATATTGCCACTACCATGCCAGTGCTGGCATACCAGTTAAATTGGCGATAGCTACAGTATATAATAAATCAACAATCAATCTTTATATACAAAGGTTATAGAATTTTGGGCAGAATCTAAATATAAAATAAAAAATTATTGTATTGGGTGTTACATTAAAAAAATATTATATCTGCCACACTTTTTGGAGTCCCCTCTTATTTAAAATTAATTTTAAATTGTGTACCTGATAGCACAGGATCAGGTTGCAGGATTATTAAGCTCATAATGTAATTAAAATATAATTTTTATATATATTTGTGAATAGGGTAATACACTTTCAACGGATGCCAATCAAAAGTGGCCACAAATAGGGGTTGCCACAGTTCAAGAAGTCAGCCCTACTACTTTATCGGGTCCGGCAACAGTGAGTCAGGCATATGATGCTCCTATAATAAAAAATTAGTATGAATGCAAACTGAAAGTATGTATTAGGAAGTATTTCATGAAAATATTTTAACTTCTACAGGGTGGGTCAAAAAGTAAGCGAATCGGAATGATGTTTTTAAATGGAACACCACATATATTATTGCATTTTTGGCTTCTTTTCTGATCACTTTACATAATCCTAAGATATTATTAAATATGTTTTATTAGTTTCAGAGCTATTAGGTACTAAATAAATAAATAAAAATACTTCAGCCTTTTATAACACAAAATGTTAAAAATACTTTTTTAAAAATACAAGGAATGTCCGTACTACTTTGCTATAAATATCGTATTCTTAAACCATACAGGGTGTTCAAAATCCTATGCTAAACTTTCTAAAATATAAAATAGTTGTTCTTCCTTTTTTTAATGGAACACTCTGTATATTATGTGTTGTTGATGAGGAATTATAAATGCACATTTTTGTATTTAAAGTATTTAAAAATCTTTAGCGGTTCTATTTAAAATAAAGCAAAGAAAACTGTTTTATATTTTAGAAAGTTTGGCATAGAATTTTTAACACCCTGTATGATTTAAGATTACGATATTTATAGCAAATTAAGTAAAGAATAAATATAGTAAACACCTAATATAGTTTTGATTTCAGGACATTTCTTGTATTTAAAAAAAAGAAAAGCTGAAATATTTTTTTTTATTTATTTAGTAATTGTTCTGAAACTAACAAAACATATTAAATAATATCTTAGGATTATGTGAGTGATCAGAAAGGAAGCCAAAAATGCAATAAAAATAATCCCGATTCACTCAATTTTTGGAGCCCCCGTAGAAGTTAAACTATTTTCGACAAATACATCCTAATATATACTTTCAGTTTGCACTCATATAAAATTCCTAAGTTTTTTATTATTGGAGCAACAGATGCGCGACTCATTGTTGCCGGACTCGTATAAAGTAGTAGGAATGACTTTGAACCGTGGTAACCCCTATTTGCGGCCACTTTTTCATTGGCACCCTGTTAAAAGTGTATTCACCTATTCATAAATATATGTAAAAATTAGGATTTGATATCTACATGATGAACGTAATAATCCTGCAGCCAGTCTTAGACTATCATCATTCTCTAAAATTATTCAATTTAATTTTTTTTTTGTTAGTCTCGAAACAAATAAGATAATGGACTTGATCGTTGACACACCCTGTATCTTAAGATTTATATATTAATATAATATATATTTACTATAATGTCTAGTGGTATATTTTTGTACTGTATATATTATGTTATGTATTATGGGGAGTCATATTCTTGTATTGTCTGTTGTATTTTTTTTGTACTTATCAGGTTTTATTGTACATTTGGGAGTTTTTTCAGAAATATATAATTGTAGATTCTGTTTTCTCCCATTTCCAAGAGTTTTTTTGCACATCCCGAATATCTGGCTGACATTATGTTTGCCAACACATCTATTTTTTGATCTTAGCTTTTATCTTCGCTACACTTAATCTAAATACAGTAAACATAATTTTAATATGTAGTGTTTCAAATTTTAGTAGAATCTAATTTTTAGACATAGAATAAATTTTTAGTAGAATGATTGTAAAGAACAATGATGAACATGATTTTTAATCATTTCTATTATTATTAACTATTAACTTATTAATACTTCTCTTATGGTTCTAGAAACCTTTTTCAGAATGCTGTGTGGTTCTAGAAACCTTTTTCAGAATAAATTTGTCTCAAAGATGAGAGTTAGGGTTCAGTTCTTTTTAAAACTAACGCTTTTATAGTTTTTGGTCCGTATATTATAAAATATTGTTTTCTAGCCACAAATATATTTTTTGCAAACAAAAATATATAGCTCTTGGTAGTTCTTTTCATAAAATTAATAACATTTTTTTTATTTATAAACTAAAATAAATATTTACAGCTTACATTGTAGATATAGTGCAAAAGCCAAATTTAACGTTAACGGTGTAACGCTAACATGAATACAATAGCTCCCTACTAATAGCGATAGCACCTTAAATGTTTACATCTATGGATCAACTCAGGAAATACGTGAAAACCAATATGGCGCCGAAAATGATGACGAAAGTTCCTAAGTTCGCGAATTGAAATTTACACAAACCTTATCAAAAACTTTTTTAAAATGTGTTCAGATTTTGTTAAAAGTATAGGTCAAAATCGCAAAACTTAAATTTGATATGAGTTTCTTAGTTTTTATCTAATATAGTGGCGAATTACAAAAATGCCTTTTCAATGAAAATTAATCAGTTAAATAAAATAATTTAATAAATTATTAATTATTTTTCCAACATATTTTACTTTGCAATTTTTTATAAATATTCAGACTCGCCAACAGACCTAGTCCACCGTGTCCAGCCTGTTTAACCAAACGTAGGCCGATTCCTCTTCGGCGGCGTCGTGACCCTGGCCGATGGAAGAGTCTTGAAGACGCTCATCCGCGCATAGGAACAAGTTGACTGCATAGCATATTGCGTATTAATTGATTCTGAAACTTTCTATCTCATGTATAACATGTTACGCAAGTTTATTATTTTAATCTCGATTTTAATAGATAAATGTGTGAAATACCACCTGAATATCTTCCGCCATGACATGTTGTTACTTTTTTGTTATGGTAAAGTGATTTGTATAAACTTTATTCAATAACTTATATTTTCCTCCATTTGTGATTTTTTAATTTTAAACGAAAATTAAGTACAACATTTTAGGAAAAAGAAACACTGTAATATTTAAAAGAATAAGAAGAAATTATGATTAATAACGGTTTTGCGGGCTGTTAGGCCGTGGTCAAGAGTGGTTGGCTCCAAAAACCGTTATTAGTCATAATACCGGCCGTGAAAGCCTACACAATTTTATCAAGAAGAAATTAGTCTTATTTTAAAAGAAAAATATAAAAAAAACTCTTTCTACAGAAAAAAGTCTTTATACTAACCAGAATCCGGTGACATATAATACGCGCTCTCACCGGAAACATTACTTGTTACTTCGCATAACTTGAAGAATATCTACATTTAATATTGAACACTTTAGAAATATACCAGTAAAAATATTTATTATTTGAGATTAAAACTCGAATTAAATTATAAACATTAGTCACCTATGTTGTTCTAGTTTTTATTTAAATATAAATAAACCGTTTTAACGACTTAATAAGTTACCTAGCGAAAAAACCTGTGCACGTACCTACCACTATTGTTACAGGTTAATTCGTTAAAGAAATATGTTACACAAATTAAAAACGCTAAAATTTTAATGGTATTACTTGTGCATTATTGGCCTTATAATGCAATTATTTGGAACTATATCTTTAAATATAATTAGACTTTTTAACGACTTTTAAGTTACCTAGGAAAAAATCTGTGCACGTACCTACCACTATTGTTACAGGTTAATTCGTTAAACAAATGTGTTACATATTATTCGTGGTATTAGTGGTAATATATTTAGAATCAGCTTGGCATTAGTGGGGCATTATATGAGAAATTTTGGTATTTAGTTTGTATTTTTGGCATTAGTATACAGACATTTGTCAGCGGTTTACCCCTTGTAAATAATCAAAAAGTTTTTTGATAAAATTTGCTTTTTATGTCAGATAATTTCTATGAAAAATTACATTAGATTTTTATTAAAGACGCTGGGTAACTAAAACATTGACTAATAAAGCTTGTCCACTTTAATATAAGGGCTCACGAAATATCATCCTTGGAGTCTTTGGGTTGAGGGGTGCATAATAAATTAATCCTTGTTTTATCATAAAAACAATAAAACATTTATTTGTGAGTAAAATAATGCAATGGTTGGATATCCTTTATAATTAGGCGACCAAAAATACACTAAAATAATTAGAAAAAAAAAATCTTGTAATTATTTAGTAATTATGTCAATAAACTCTTAATTGAGTTTCTAGTCTATTTTATTATATGTACAAATATATTATTAAATTTTAATCTAAGCATTAAGTAATAAAACACTTTGTGGGCCCTCTTCTCGTAAGAGATTACGAAATATACTCCTGATTACACCCCTTATAGAAAACAGTGTAAGGGGTGTAAATAAATTGTATAATCACTGTTTTTTATAATAAAAACTATAAAACATTTCTTATGATATAGATTTAATCTATATTATATATATATATATATATATATATATATATATATATATATATATATATATATATATATATATATATATATATACTATATATATATAATATATATATATATATATATATATATATATATATATATATATATATATATATATATATAATATATATATATATATATATATATATATATATATATATATATATATATATATATATATATATATATATATATATATATATATATATATATATATATATATATATATATATATATATATATATATATATATATATATATATATATATAGATTAGAAGAATATATATATATATATATAGATAGATTAAGATTAGTCATGATACATGACTAAAACATGACTACCGTAGACACTCAGTGTTTCTGCCTTCCGGCTTCATCAATACGGGAGGAATCAGCAACGATGAACTCAGTTCATCGTTCAACAATGAACTCAGTTCATATACATATATATATATATATATATATATATATATATATATATATATATATATATATATATATATATATAATAACATGATATACTAGACACTCATTGTTTCTGCCTTCCGGCTTCATCAATGAACTAGAGGAATCAATGAACGATGAACTCAGTTCATCATTCAACAACAAACTCAGTTCATATATATATATATATATATATATATATATATATATATATATATATATATATATATATATATATATATATATATATATATATGTATATGAACT